TGTGGACTCATGTTTGACTTGAATATACCTCATCAAGTTCACATTTTCACACTAAAATTACATGTATATCTTGAATGAATAAAATTTATGGAGATAGCAGATTAAATCAAGGTCACTAAATTTCTCCATATGTTGACACTCTTTCACTTAAATTTTTTGTATTTAAAGGATACTAACTTTTGGGGCTCAACTTACATCACATATTATGCAATTCCCCATCTACGAAAAAACAAAGGAAGAATAATTGTGATTATTTCTGCGGCAGCAAAAATAGCTTCCCCAATGGCAACTATCTACTCGGTAAGAAAAAAATCTACTCGGTAAGAATTTTTCTTTTTATAATATATCAAATCCTCTTTGTTTTTTATTATCTAAATAAATAATCAATCGAAAATACTAGTCTTAAAAACATATATAACTTTTTTTTTTTGTTATGTAAAACGTCTAAAGTGATTAATTAGGGAAACAAGAGCAATTTTTGTTGTTGTAGTATTACATATTTGTCATAGATCCATAGGAAGAATTGTGACTACTCGAACTCTATCAGTAGACTAAACCACATCACCCATTGATTACTTAATTGTTTGCTCATGTTGGTGTACTGAATTTAGTACTATTGTAGGCAAGCAAAGCAGCATTGTTACGATTTTATGAGGCACTAAGAGCTGAACTTAGTCCGGAAATAAAAGTAACACTTGTTCTTCCGGGGCTAATCTCTACGGATATGACAACTCCTAAGCTTATAGAAATAGTAAGTATTTTTTGTACAACATTATTCATCCGAATTTAACAAATGTTTTCTAATTTATATGAAATAATTTGCTAATTATGTGTGTTTCTGTTCTTAAACATTTTTTGAAATAGTTCGGTTCAGATTCAATACTATCAGAATCAGTGACTAGACGTGCAAAAGCAATTTTTCAAGGTGTTTGTCGAGGAGAATCAAATATAGAAGAACCAAGTTGGATAAAATGGTTATTCTTTGTGAAGACAGTGTGCCCTGAAGTAATCTTCTTCATGATCAACTACTTTTTTCTCCATTATCTCAAACCTGTTTACAAACGTGCTGAGAAGGCAAGAAACGGACCCATTAATTCAATATCGCTACTCTTCATGTTGTCTTTTAAATATTCTAAATACTTAGTTTAATATTTTCCCTTTTCAACTGAGAAAACTTTTAAACTTAGTCTGCTTGTGTAATCGTTGACATCATTTCAAATTTAACATCTTAAAACTGTTTAAATGATTTGTCATGCATGTGGTCGAATGGCTCTAAGCTCCCTCCTATCTCTCTTTGAGTCTCTCTCTAAGTCAAAGTGAGGGTTTGATTGATGAAAGCGAACTGATTGCTTGCTTTCTTGTTTTGATTTACTTGTTGATTTTATCTAGTTTATGTTTAGATTTTGGTAGTTCTTAGTTACAAAAATCCAAAATTTCACAATCATTTTAGATTAAATAGTTTTTTTAGTGCAATATTATATTTTCTCGTGGATTTGATCCCGAAGTATTACATCAACATGACCATGCACTTGTGAATCATGTCGACACAACATAAATCATCCATTGCAAAAAAACAATTGGATCTAGTGCATAGTAAAATCGTTTGCATTAGTTAACCACTAAACTACGACACATTTGTTAAAGAAACACATTATTCTTAACTTTTTTTTTTTTTTAAATTGAGATAATTTTGAAAGTTACTCTATTTGTTTAACTAATTGTTAACATCGTTTTATGTTTAACAGGTTAAAATAAACCAAAATGGAGATTTTTTTTTTTGAAACAATTTATTTCATTCATTTAACCGCTTAAAGTACAAAGAAAAGAAATTGAGCATCCTCCAACATTACTACAATATAATTGAAATGCAATAAAACATAAAACAGATAGATCGTCGTAGAAGATGGACAGCGAATCCAAGGAATGCCTCAGATGTGTCAAAAGGATCTTCGCGGCAAAGCCAGAGATTCTCAGGTTAGTCACTTTACAATGTGACTTTAAAGATCCCGGCATAAAGTTCGGGAGTTCGACCACTCTCCGGGAGAAAGATACAATCTGTCTCAAAGAGATGGAAGACGGTGGATTTAAACTCATCCACCGGGAGTAAATTGCATGATTTGAGAATCTAAAAAACTTTAGATTTCTCAACAAAGTGAAGCTAATGAGCTCAAAAA